CAGATAACTTATTTGTTAGTGAACGTATTGTATTAATATGTTCATTTATAAGTGAACGTATTGTTCTAATATATTCACTTATAAGTAAATAGTACTGAGTTCTGGTTTCGTTATAATGGAATAGAATAGCTCTTTTATTTTGACAATTTTTTTTTTTATAATTGTACGAGTATTATCTGCTGAGATGAACCCGCAAGAAAATAAATATTCTTTTCAAATTATTATGTACAAGATAATTTTACATTTGCATGGGTACTGTGACTATAATTACAACTAAGTCCTATTTATATGTATTATTAAAACGAAAATAAACAAGCAAACATGAGCAGAATAGCAGCACCTGTTATAAAGAGCATGTATTGCTTTAATTATCAAAGAAAAATTGGAATTATACATCAATTAAATAATGCAGCAAATATATTTAAACAGGCAAGTATAGCCTGTTTTAGTAGAATCTAATGAAAAGTAATTAAGTTACATTGAAATTATCACAGACACTTATTCTCTTCTTATTATCTTATCGACACATCGGTATATTTAATCTATTATTTTTTGTTTTTTTTAATTATATTACTATACTTAGTTTCTTCATTTATGGTACTGAGTGAGTCGCATAATTCTATAAATAAAGGTTTTCTTTACTTTTTCGGAACTGAAATCAAAATGTTAAATTGTAATTCCTTGTTCTTAGTGTACTACTTGATATTTTATACGGAATCTTAAAAACTGTACATAGTTATTTGCGGTCAGTTCTAAATTAAGTCGATATTTTCTATGTTTTTACCAATTTTAATTGTTTGCAAATTTAGGGAACTGTCACATGACATTTTTACATTACACGTGTGTGTGTGTGTTAGTGTAATTAGTTTTTGGTCTTTCCTCTGTTATTGCGTTTCCAGACAGTCAGTAAGTCCTATCATCATCACAATATCAACCGTTAACCAACCACTGCTAAATATAGGCCTCCTTCTTGGGGAGTTTTGTTAGTAGTTGCCACGTTTAGCAGGTGAGTTAGCAACCGCAATTAGGCTTTGGTGATATTTTAAAAGATGCTGCTTCGCATCCTTCGACGATTAAATGTCCATAGTCGCCTCTTACAACACACACAGTAAAGGAAGAGGTAGCCAAACTATAAGGTAGGTAAAAATCGAAGTGCAACGAGCAGGGAAGCAATCAGTTAATATCAATATCATTGTGCAAACACAAGTTAAATCGAAGTAACTCGTGTTGACACTCTGACAATCGTGCCCACCAATAGGCTTTTAGGTAAGTGAGTAAGTAAATAATCCTAACTTGTGTGAATATATAGAGATGTTTTTCTTGTAGAAACAATACTGTTAATTTTTTTTACTGGACTAAATGTTATTTTGCGAAAGTCCATATCATTGATTACTTAATTAGAATTATTTTATTTTATTCCATTACTTTTAGTATCTGTGCGACTGCCAACACTCGAAGATTAACTGTTATTATTATTACTAGAAGTTTTACAACCTTCCATATTAGCTATCAAGGTCCGACCGTCATTCTATTTACGCACGTTTCATGATATGTGTTTCACCTCTGAACGAGGCATCTCCAGACAAATTGCTGCTCAGAGCCTAGTGTTTACCGTTCGGTACCCAAACTGCGAATGATTCTTAAAATTGTGTAATTAGTTTATCAACTAATACAAAGTACTAAGTAAAGTAAATGAGTACGTTATACTCGTTTATCATCTGGCAGGATGTGTATATGAGAGTGAATGTTGTGTACTTAAAGGTTAAAGGAAATGGTAAGAAAGATTCACAAAAACAGTAATGATTGTTACTCTATTTTTAAGTGCTAATTTATATCGTTCCTGTAATGTCTGTAATTTTCATAAAGAAATTCTTAAATGGCTTATTTATGATAACTACCTATTAAACTAGATTGTATTTACATATATGGATTTTAATTGCACAATTATCTACACGTAAGTATGTACATAAACAGTTTTTGTGCCTAAACGTATAAAAATAGTATAAAAACAGATCATAAGTAATAAACCCGCTGTATATGGTGTGCCGAGAACAGCACGACAGTTCGAAATTCAGTGAGAGTGTTCATGACACTGGACATTTTTCTTCAAGGAACATAAGTCGAGATAAAAATACAATTTGTGGATTTTTCGTACTGAATCGTTTTTATGAAGAATATTTTTTAATAAAAAAAATATCTTCTTTCTTGGAAACGTTGTTAGTTATAACCTTTAGCTTTTAAAGTATATGAAAACAGAAAAATGTTCATGATTTTCTGAATAGAGTAGTCGGAAGTTTTTTGTCTATTATTGTTCTTATTTAGAGAGTAATAATTACGCTACTCATGTTTAGTATATTCGAATCGAAAGCGTAGGTGGAGTTATTTTATTTTAAACAGTTAAATAATTTATTTGTGTCTTTAATTAGCTTGCCAAAAATAAACTGTTTAAAAAATTCACCCAGTGTCACTTGAGATGATGTAAGGATTTTAGCGGGTTTTTTATGTATGATGATAGAATGGTAATCGCACTTACCTATCACTATATGCTGGTGAGGCATCAGTTATAGATGATAGGTGAGGACGAAAAGAAGTCTGTTAGCCCATCGTGATGAATTTTCCAAGAATTACTCACGATGGTTTTTAGGAGGAACGATTTCCTTAACAGTGGCTACCCTATGGTTCTAAATGTGTTCAGGCATTTAGAAGTTGTGGCGGAATAAAAACATACATACGCACTCCTTTTATAGGCAGTCGTGTAAAAATATCTTCCTCTTATGGGAACGTACATCTGCTTACGATGAAAAATGTATATAGGTAGGTTGACGTAGTATTGTTTATATAGATATAGTCTAAGATCCCGTCGCTGAATTCTGCCTACACAAGCAACCTTATTTTTGTTTTATAGAAAAAAGAATAAATTCCATTTACATTTAGAACCAATTCCCTGTAATTACAGCATCAACTTCTAGAATAAAAATTTAGATGCTGGCAACCTTTACTGCCAACCATTGCTAGCAATACATTCTATCAGGTCGACCTCTTCGTGGTTTCACTAGGAGATAACCGTGGCTAATTATTGTGGCATTTGTCATGATGGGCCAAATAACCCTCAACTATCATCTTTCTTTGGTGTTTCATCAGCTTATACAGATAGCGCAATCGGGGTTACCATTCCATTAAATAAATATTTTACCGTGTATAGAAAAGAATAAACTTCCATTTGTTGTTCCTTTTATTTAAAAGATGATAAGTTTACCAATTTATTAATTTATATTAGATAGATATCTATTTACACGCGGTAACCTTAGGTAGCGGCTAACAGAAAGGAAAACCTGAAACTCAGGTTCATTGTATTATATTTATGTATACTCATCTTTCATTTAACTTTCACACAAATGTTTTTTACTTGCATAAATCAGTTGCGGGATCTAAGACTAGTCGTAGAGTTTTGTCTGAGAATCAGCAATTCTTATGCATGAATTTAGACACACTACGGATATTGATTCTTTCTAAAGGTTAAGTTAGATAGTGCAACATTTTGTGAATCTAAGCAGGGCAACTATTTAATCCTTACGAATGGCTACATATGAGAGGCATTATAAGCATTCTAGTATCAATATTCTGTGATGGATTTGGCCATATGTAAATATATGTATATAGATAACAGTTTCTGTCAGTTGCGCTATAGGCCACAACACACCTGCAATTTCTCTGATGTTGCGAGTACCAATGGGCGGCGGTAATCACATACCATTGGGTGAGCCGCATGGTCGTTTGTCCCCTATATTACAAAAAAAGACCACTCTCAATATCTTTAATAGATAAAACAAAAAGATGAAAGTGAGTTCGTTCCGTTTTAGCGCTTCAATAAATTAATAAATCGTCACAAATTTTGATGTACATGTTTTGTACCTATACATGTTTCGGATGGAAAAGAAAATATACTATATTTGATCCCAGTCAATTTAAGGATTGACTATCCAGGTCATGAAGATAAACTATAAAAAAATTTGTTTATTGATAAATTTTTTTTGTAACTGTGTAGTAGCTGAGCCTGTCAAGTATGGGAAACAAACATCTAAGGTACAACATACACATAATTCAACAACCCAGGCAATGAAAAGCTAATTTTCTAAATTGGGTTAACTGAGAAGAACCCAGAATTTCATTACATACGTATATCACAGAGCCACGGACATTATTGATATCTAAAATGTAGAGTCTATTAAAGATTTTTTTAAATAATATGTAATATCATGCGTATGGAAATAAATGATACTTGTAAGTTTTCATCGAAGGTATATTTTTTGTTTTTAACGTAAATCTAGATGTACTCTGTAGGTATTATTAAATGTAATAAAGGTTATATGAAAGCTACTTTACAGCTTTCACACTTGTATGTAGCTATTAACTATATTACCGTGTATTAATTTTTATGTGTTATTTTTGCTCATTGGCCTACTTAAATGTGTGATTATATGGAAAATTTAATTGTACAATCCAGAAAAATAGTCATTAATAAATAATTTTAAACTTCTTTTTATTAAGTTTTCATAGGTTGAAATTTTGTTTATCAAATCTGGATTAGATTTAGTACAAGTGATCGTGAAATTACCAATAAAATAATATAAAACCTAACCTGTCTAAAACTGCATCGCTCCGAATATAACTAGAATTTCGTTATTTATAATTATTAGTACTCCGTCCTTCCAACTGTTATACAATTTGTGCAAAAACAAGGTTCATCTATATTTCAGTTGCTAAAAAGCTCTAAAGCTTCAGTAACGTAGCCTCAATTTGGCGCGCGTCAACCAATTACTAGAGTATAGTGTCGCCAACTTTCAGTAAAACGCCGTCATAAAGTGCGATATCCCGCTGCGAGAACTCTTTATTTTCCTATAAAAGCGTTTTATCCACGTATAAAAGCTTAAATCCGCGCGGAGCTTTCTCCCGGCGGCGAGTCGGCAAAAAGAGCATTAGCGGTGCCCCGCGAGCAACATGGCAGCGGACCGCCCCTGTGCGCCGTTGGCTGCCGCGCTCGCCCCGACACCCATTGGCCAGCGCCGCCTCCTGCCCACCGCGGCGCCAGCACGCTCCGCTCAGTCACTCTCCATACCTCGCCGAGTGTGTGTTGTGTACCCCGGCGCGCACCATCCACGCTACGAACGCGTACCACTCTCTCCACGCGACATCGTACTCGTAACTTGTAATTCATCGAACTCTCTAATGAAACATTCGTTCTAGTGAACTCTGAATTTTTTTGCGGTGTTTATTACATAGTGGTGCTACCTTTAACGAACAGGTGTCGTTTCCCCGGATGGTACTGAACTGATCCTTCTCTTCGTGTGTGCAACTGCATGATTAGACATTAGGGTTGTGTGGATTGAAGGCGATGCACTGGATGAGGCACCGCGTGCCGGGTAGACTCGATTGATCGTGGTGATCGCTTGGTACGTGTGATGTGCCGGGTGCGGTGACCGTCGCGGTGCGGTGCCGTCGAGCTGGGGGCGAGCGAGGTGCTGAGCGTGGGGCGGGGGTGGCGCGCCCCCGCGCTGGATGCGGTAGGAGGTGCGGCGGGCGGCGCGGGCCCCGCCGGCGGCGCCGTGGCGATGACGGTGCAGCGAGACGAGCGCGACGCGCGCGCACCCCGCACCAGGTTCATGATCACGGACATACTGCACGATGCCGCGCCGAGGGACCTCAGCGCGCACCGGGACTCCGACTCGGACAGGTCCGCGACCGACTCACCAGGTGAGGCTCACCGCACGTGCTGATGATCTAAAAGGCGTATGCAATTGTTCAAGTCAGTCAGAAGCAGGTATTCTGCGTTGATCTTGTATATAGTCCTTTACATTCCAAATACCAGTCAAACCTATCTTTAGTTCAGTCGTTTAAATTTGATTATGTAAAAAAATATAAATCTAAACATACCTTCACATTTGTACTATTAAAAGAGGTATTTCTAATAAATATCACTGGATACTCTGTATAAACGATACTGGAAAACAAGACTTGGAAGTGTAACTACGCATTTAACTTTAATCTTTATACGGTTACAATGGTTATATGAATTAATTTTGGGTTTCGAGACAGCAATAGGTATATGTATATATATAACCGCGACTATAACATTTTTGCCGACCGATATCACTGTGATAAACAGTAATTAATTCAGATAAATAAATATTTTTTAGGATTTAAGTTAGATACTATTATCTAAGAATTACTGACGGTAACGACACGGCGCTCACTAAAAATGTTTGCAAATGACAAGCCATAAATTTACACTTATATGTAAGAGCATGAAAATGAGTATTCCAAAAATAAATAGTTTTTACATACTGATAAAATAATATTTTAATATATAAAAGTTACTATATAAAAACTAAGATAGTTTACTAGGAAAAAAAATTATAATACAGATAATAGATTAGATTTACCTATTATAAAATTATGTATTGATATTTAAAACATAATTATGTCTAATTGGATGATTGAAAAACTGTGTCTGCTATTTTATTACAAAGATAGATAATCTAACGTACAAAAACATTAAAATGTTTACTACGAGTGTGCCGTAGCACTTAAGGAAAGACATCAACGAAAATGCATCGCGTGCGCTTTCGTCTTCGAGATTTATGTTTGAATAATTTTGAATACTCAATCAGCTAGTTTAAACGCTATTTCGTCTTAATTTAACTGTTCAATATATTTGTATGTTTATATGTAAATAAGTCGTAAATAAACGTTTTAAAGATACAAGCTGTTTTCTCTGATGGACAGTACGTTTTTACAATTGCTTGTCATCACATAATTTTTATAAAAGTAAAATTGTACCACACGTACATAGTTAATTTTGGAATTGATATAATATTTCGAGGTAGGTTTACATGTACTACATTTTATTATATAATACAATTAGTGTAGCTACTAATTGTATTAGATTCTTATAAGAATATAGCTTTATTTATAACTTGTTATTATGTTTTGATCGGTATGTGTGTACTGGCCGGAATTTAAATATTTAAGTCTTAATTAATTTATTAATTTTATAGTAATTATTTAAGCTATTAAGATGCCAAGAGGTAAACAAATAAACTAACTCACTTTCACATTTATAATATTAAATAAAGATTAGCTATAACTCTTGACTTTAATCGCGTTAATTAGTATAAAAATAAAACTATAAAAAATCAATTATTATTTGTTAATTGAGAATATAGTCCATCTATGGCGTTATAAGTTACAAATACTTACATATACATATTCAAATAGATATAAATAATTTAAAATAAAAATATTTCGATTTAAGAATACTGAAAAAAAAAAGTTTTTTAATATAAGAAAATAGTACAAAAGGTAAAATTGATGCTTTATCTTGCAATCAACTTTGGAACAAGAATGCGGTACTTAATCGATAAAAATGTCTAAAAATACCACAACCTATATGCAGTAATAAAAAATACATTACCTTTATTAATTAAATAAAAAAATAGTTTAAATGATAGATAATTGATTTAAGAACAATGTAAGATAACAGTATAATAAATAATTAAAGTCCACAATAAATTAGTCATAAACGTGTCCACATTGTTTAAAGATGTTAACCTTTTTATTATGTGAACAAATCTTGAACAAAATTGTTATTCTCGGAACAATTTTGTGCTGGGAATTGTGCCAATTACAATAGGGTATGCAGTCACGCGATATTATATAAAAATTACTAAGAGCTAATCTGATTGGTCCTCTTTCATGAATAGGAGCTACAATTTCAATTAAATAGAAACTAATGTATAAAAATTGGGTTATCTTAAATAAGCTCAATAATTTATAAGTATATTGTTTCCTTTTTTATTTTAAACAAATTTTGTTATTCTTAAAAATATTTGTGCCTATTAGCATTTGTATTTATTGTATATTTTCAACTAAGTTTATAGAATTATTAGTTTTATTTCTGGTTTTTAAGCAATAGGTATCAATTTTAATACAATTCAATTCAATTTATTTATTCTCTACAATACTGCATTGTGTTGAATATTTTTTATATAAACTTATTAAAAATGGATGTAAAGTATTATGCCGAGGATATTTTTTTTATTAATAGATGAGATAGGTTTTAGGGTCTTGAGCCACCCACCCACTCTCACACTGACATATGTAGCGAAGAATATGTTTTTTCATTTATGTTCTTAAATAAATGGCTTTATATAAAATATTGGTATTTTGTGAAGAATCCTTTTATAGGTAAGATACAAATACGCTTTTTATCTCTTATTTTAAAATCGAGCTGTTTTATTATATTAGCAATGATCATAATGGAGTTTATTCGTCTTTTTTAAATGATTCAAGATATAAAAACATTTTATAGGTCAAGGTAATAAATAAACAGGTTCTAAGTTATTCATAGAATATCAATAAAATAGAATTAATACAAATTATGTGCAGTTTGACAACTAATATTTTTAAGTGATACCTATGTATTTTTTTTATTTACATATTTATTCATTTATTTCTTTATCATTTACAAATTAAATAAATTAGATAGATATAATTTATTTTTCAGTTAGATACTATTAAGTAAGTACCTATTATATTACTATAATCAATATGTACTTAATAGCAAGAGATTTAATTGTCACAATTGTAATTACTATTTTTTTTACGGACAATAGACCTACTTGTTATTTTCTGTTATTGTTATCGCTTCATAGGTCGAAGATCCATCTTTTGTGTTATTACAAATTGGACTGTAATACTATTATAACATTGGACTGACTCTTTATTGATCGACACTTCGAATTGGAACCCAAAATAGCTAAGACAATGTTACCTGTCCGGACGAATCATATGATAATCATAGCACTAACGATTTTTACTTATAACTAGCGGCCCGGCCCAGCGTCGCACGGGTGAACATTTTTACATTTTAAAAAGTGGCCATTAAGGCTGCACACGCGACGGAAGCTTAAACATTTCCCTTCACTGCTCTGCTCCTATTGATCGTAGCGTGATGAAAAGTATACTATAACCTGCCCAGGACTATGAAGAATAATTGTACCAAGTTTCGTTAAAATCCGTCGAGTAGTTTTTGTTTCTATAACAAATATACAGACAGACATAAAAATTTTACTGATTGAATTTTTGGCATCAGTATCGATCACTAATCACCTCCTGATAGTTATTTTAGAAATATATTTCATGTACAGAATTGACCTCTCTACAGATTTATTATAAGTATAGATTTGCAAAGTTGTTTCGATTACTATAAATAACAAAGTAAAATTATAATTAACTATCTTTTTGCTCGCAACTTCATAGGTACGTGCGGATTTTAAATGTAGTAAAATTAATAAAATAGATCATTTCTATATAATCACAATTATCATATCAGCCTTGAACTGTCCACTGCTGTACATAAGCCTCTCTTTTGGGTGGATTTGCCATTAGTTACTACATTTGGCCGGTGGATTAGCAACCGCAGTTAGACTTTGGAGATGTTTTAAGAGGGACGCTGCTGCCCATCTCTCGCCTTCCTTTCGTCGCCTTTTACGACACCCACGGGAAAGGAAGCGGTGATCTATGCCATAATCATTTCTTTTCTATTGGCATATCAGAATAAAACATACACCAGTTTTTAAGTTAGACCTTCAAGAAGATATGAGTGGCGTGATGTCAGAATAAACATACAGACAAATAGACAAAGTTTATAATATTTTTTGTTTTGGCTTCTACTGTTCCTTCACTATTTTTTTTTAAATATCTTCCGTGTATAATCATCGTGTTGTTACAATTTTATTATATTAGTAAGGCATAATAATAAATGGCAATTGTCTTAAAACATTTAATACAGGAGTGTTTAATTTCTTTTAATATCATAATATGAAAATTTTATAAATACCCATATGATATAAATATAAAGGGGCACTGACCACATACTTTACAAGTAATTGTAATTAACTTTAAAACATAACATAGAAATATAAATGTGATAATATAAACACTCACAATGTGTAAATAAATACATATGTATAAATATGAATAAGTATGAATACATAAAGGTGTATATTGATTATTGCAAAGAATTGGAAGGTTCTATCTGTTATTGCATATAAAATAAATATTGACTTCAAATACACTAAAAATATTAACAGTTTTTAAGTTACTTATATTTGTATTATACTGAAATAGATGTTATCTTGCGGAAGTCCATATCACTTGTTATTTGATTAGAATTATTTTGTATAACTCCGCTACCATTAGTGTATGTGTGACCATCACTATCATTACTACCAGAAGCATCTACAACCTTCCCATATTGTTTGTTTGTTTTCAAAAGTTCTTTATTTATCATAAGTGATTACAAATATAATAAATTCCAGTGTACGTAAGCCTAGAATTTACAATCAGCCATAAATCGTTTGGCGAGTAATATACACTCCTTTGAACATTAAAAATAGAGATACAAGTATCTATAATTCTACACAACATAAAACAACTTACATTACATGATGTAACTTATTAATTATAATCATAAAATAAATACAAAATGCACATATTTGTAAATTATGCATTATAACAAAAATCATACAATTATTTTAGGAGGATATATTAACCTTCCCATATTAGCCCTCACTTCACACATATACTAATGGCGGCGAAATTAATCAAAATAATTCTAATCAAATAACTTAGATATGTAATGGATAAAAATTAGCAATTATCGATGTTTTAATCATTTATAAATTTCATCG